ATGTATATTCCTTTGGTAGTTTCCCCTTAATTCTTTCCCATCCCTTTCTATCTAACCACGTTTCCATCATTACTATTATCTCCCATTCTTTTATTCTTTGCCAAAAATCTTTATCCTTGTTTCTCACTCCGGCCACATTCCAGAACGCTATTCCCCACGTCTCTTCCCCCTCCCTCCCCCACCCTCTCTACCCTTTCCCCCACTACCCCTCCCCCTCCTTCCCCCTCTCTCGTCCATATTTTCCCTTCCCGACTTATTAATCTTTCCTCCCTCTCATCCCATCTCCACCATTTCCCATTTATATTTAATTTCCCATAACCTACCACTACTCTCCTCCCCTTTCCTCTCTCCTCTCTCGCTAACTCCCCCAATCTCCATTTTGTTCTTCTTTCTTTCCATGTCAAATTGTCCTTTATCATTATTTCCTCCTTTGCCACACTTCTCCTTTTCTCCATAATCTCCCTTTTCTTCTCTAATCTCCTTATCCTTATTCTTCCCATTTTCCCTCCACCCAATACCTTCATACTCTCCACCTCACCTTCCATTCCTAACTTCTTTACTAACTCTTTCATTTTTTCTTCTATCTCTCCTTCTCTCCCCTTCTTCCCTTTTATTATTATGTTATTCCTTCTTTCCTCTCTATCTTTCATTTCCCATTTCTACTCCAGTTCCCCTATTCTTTCCTCTGTCTTGTCCTCCTTCTCCTCTGTACCCCTTATCCTTCCCTCTTCCTTCTTTTTTCCCCCTGCTTTCTTTTCCAGCTTCTCTATTCTTTCCCTTAGCTCTCTACTCTCCTTCCTCCATATTTTTTCTTTCTCCTCCCACTGTTTTCTCATGCCTTCTACTTCTTCTCTTATCTCCCTTCCTTGCTTCTTTATCTCCTCTTTTAATTCCTCCTTTATCTCCTTATTCACCTCCCTTATCATTTCCCTCATTTCTCTCATCCACCCTTCTCTTTCCTCTTTCCACTCGCTCGTACCTAATCTTCCTTCCCCCCCCTCCCTTTCCCTTGTATCCCCTTAGCTTCTCTCCCTTTTTTGTACTTGTGTTCTTCTTCCTCCATCTCACTCTCTGTTTCCTCCTCTATCTCTCTTTTCCTCTTCACCCACTCC